AATGAAACACACGAAATTAGATGAAACTCTGGAGGAAACGCTGGATAGCCTGGTGACGTGACATTAATTGTTTTATACTGAAATTTTCCCTCTAAAAGTGCTTCCTTGGTCTTATCCATATTTCTTTGCACATTAAACGCACGTCGGCCACAACAGGAAATAAAAAAAACTGCAACCGTTAATTACGTAAATATTTTTTTACACGTTCAATATTTCTAATTAAATATATCCACAGGACAGGATTTGCAAAGAAACTGGGAATAGGAGATCTGTTCCAACTCTCTGTGATCATCTGCACCTCACAATTGAGTTTTACAAGTTTACCATGTTTTTAAAAAAACAGAGCATGTTTTTAATAAAGACAGTAAAAGCACTATGTAATTCATAACCGCTGGAATCATCCCAGCCACATAGTGTTGGTAAATGTACTTGTGTGTGAGCTGAAACTTTACAGACACATTCTGGAGATACCAAAGATTTTTATTTTACATCTTGTAAAAGGGGTAAAACAGAAGCCTTGAAAACCTCTTTAACATTATTAAAAGTACTTACACAACTAAGTGACTGATATTTATTAGTTTGTTTGCATTGAGTCACAGTTCTGAATTTTATTTTTGAACCATTTGCTAGTAATATTATTGAATAGCTGAGGTAAACGATCTGCTTCTGCTATCAGTATAGCAATAAAGCACATAATCAGTACCTGAGGTGATCTTCATTGTAGTTTATGCAGCCATTATATGACGTCACAAAATTAAAACAGTTTTTTAAATGGAACTTTTGTGTGATGTTTAGGATAAAAACTCCTTTTAACATAGAAACGGTTATTTTATTGCATGTCGCAGTGTTGCCTCACTTGTACTGTAATACGTATACGCCGTAATACTGCGCCGGAAACTTCTTCACCAGTTCAAGATGAGAAAGAACTTGTAAGCTGAGTAAGTATGATTTTATTCTAGTTAGGAGAAAGCACAAAGACACTAAAACACTTTTAGAAACACAACTGCATGGATGACATTTTGAAACTGGAAATGATATGGCTCTAGAGCCAGAATGGCTGACAGATCCAAAATGGCTGCCAATGGCAATGTGTATGAGTTTGATTCAGATGCTGCTGGCGTTCAGACAGACGAGCAGCGCCAGGACTCAATGTCAGACAGAGACTGCAGGCTACACAAACACACACACACACACACACACACACACACACACACACACACACACACACACACACACACACACACACACTAATAAATCCTCAATAAAGAAAACAAGACAAGACAGTTTTTGTCTCTAACCAGTATGTGTGTCCTTCAGAAATGTTTACTTAGGATTTTTTGAACATTGTCCTTCAAGAAAATGACAAGACACCTGAATAAAAGACTTATAGCATCATCAGTTGTGTAATTACATAAAATTTGTATGGTTAAATATGCAAATGAGACATTATTTAATATGTATAGGGTAATTTGCAAACATTTCCAGTACTAAAATATGAACATTGGATAAAGTCAGGTTCAAAAATTGTTTATTATTTTTTTTTCTGTCATATCGTGTCAACTTTTTTACAGAAACTTATTTTCACTTATTTTATAAAATGGAATGTTGTATAATGAAGCAGATTATGTATGAAAATAACTCCAATAACTTTCAGAATATAGATATATGAATAAAGCTGTAGTTTATGGCTGAATGCTTGAGAAAACAAAACTTATTTTACAAAAGTGAAGTTTATTATCACATGCTTATGATTGACATGGCTGGCCCCGAGTCAAGCTAATGTACAAACCACCAATCAGAAGATTCCTAACTCAGTATAATTAACCAAAGCTTCTTACCTTTAGTCTTTTTCATCCTAAAGAATCCCCCCTTCCACCCCATCTCCTCCTCTTTTTCCACTGTAGGGCAGCACGGCGGCCCAGTGGCTAGCAGTGTGGCCTCACAGCAAAAGTACCTCCGGTTCGGGTCTCTATACCCGGCCAGTTAGCATTTCTATATGGAGTTCCTGTTCTCCCTGTGCTCAATTGGATTTTCCCCGGGTCCTCCGGTTTCCTCCCACAGTCCAAAACATGAGAAATAAGTAAATTGACTAAACCAAATCAGCACCATAGTTGTATTCCACCAGCAACACACCCTCATAGCAATCCTTAAGCAGCAGGAGGGGGGGAGTTCTCGAGATCAACTTGAGCTCAAACACCTCTCTCGCCCTGCAAAGGGGAGGGAGCCCCGGGCTCAAGGATCTTATGAGCTCAGGGCTCTCTAGCGGGACAGCAGGCCAAACTAGCTTATTACCAATCATCAGCTAAGTGTGAACTCTTGAAACAGCCTTTAAAATTCTGTATTGCAACTGAAACTTGCAGACACACATTGATAAAGTTCAGCAAATCAAAAGGAAAGTAGATTATTATTTTTACATTAGACAAAAAATAGTCAAAAATCCTCTGTTCTGACGTGCATGAAAAGCATGTTTTTTTTTGCCTGCAGTGTCTCCCCTTAAACAGGTGTCATAACAGCAGTTTGTACACTTATAATTGTGTGTGTGTGTGTGTGCACACAGGTAACCAGTGTGATTGTGTGACCAAACAAGCCGCCGGTGTTGTGAAAACAGACTATATTTTCACCTGACACAATGTGACCTGTGGAAACACGACACTTTTGTCCTGTGACTGCCTTTAGATGCCATAAAACCAGTTTTGAGCTCAGAGCGTGTGTTGAGAATGTAAGAAATGTGCAAGTTACTCACACAGAGCATGACAGGTCAATTAAATTGAGTGTGTATGTTTGTGTGTGGGTTTTCAGTCAGAGAAAACTGAGAAAGAAATGTCTTAATCATGCAAAAGTAATATTACAGCAGAAAATTTTAACCAATGTAAAATAATAAGCAGAAAAAGACCATTATTACATTTATCTGCACTCAAAGTGTTGCACAGTGTATTACAAACAGCAAATAACACTGATATCAAAATAGTTTTTGTGAAACATGCTCTAGATATGTTGTTTTATATGTGATGCACATTATAAAGTGGTAGTAAACAAGAAATTACTAGTGCTGTCAAATGAGCAATTGCGATTGATCTACAGGGATTTTCACAAACAACCATCTCAAAACAAAAAAAGAGAAAATACTCAGTGAGCGGCAGTTCTGTGGGTGCAAATGCCTTGTTGATGCCAGTGGTCAGAGGAGAATGGCCAGACTGGTTCAAGCTGATAGAGAGGCAACAGTAACTCAAATAACCACTCTTTACAACCGAGGTATGCAGAAGAGCATCTCTGAATAAAATACACGTCCAACCTTGAGACAGATGTGCTACAGCTGCAGAAGACCACTCCTGTCTCCTGCTACTCCTGTCTACAAAAAAACAGGAAACTGAGGCTACGATTTACACCACAGGTGTCAAACTCAGTTCCAAAAGGGCCGCAGCTCTGCACAGTTTACTTCCAACCCTAATTAAACACACCTGATCAAACTAATTGAGTCCTTCAGGCTTGTTTGAAACCTACAGGTAAGTGTGTTGGAGCAGGGTTGGAACTAAACTATGCAGGGCATCGGCCCTCCAGGAATTGAGTTTGACACCCCTGATTTACACAGTCTCACCAAAATTGGACAATAGAAGATTGGAAACACGTTGCCTGCTCTGATGAGTCTGGGGGATATTTTCTTGGCAGCCTTTGAGCCTACTTTGAGTTCACTGTACTCAGGTGGCCTCCACAGTCACCAGATCTCAATCCAATTGAGCACCTTTGGGAAGTGGAATGGGAGATTGGCTTCATGGATGTGCAGCTGACAAATCTACAGCAACGGCGTGGTGTTATCATGTCAATATGAATCAAAATCTCTCTGAGGAATATTTCCAGTACCTTGTTGAATCTATGCCATGAAGGACTAAGGCAGCTCTGAAGGCAAAAGGGGGTCCAACTAGGTACTAGTAAGGTGTACCTAATAAAGTGGCCGGTAGGTAAATATTTAATTTATGTATATGTAATTTATGTAAATACTTTCAGTTTCTATTATGTATTTTTTATTATGTAAAAAGCTTTTATTTTAGATACAATTAATTACGATCTTTTGACTGCTATAATAATTACAAGTTTATTATTGTAATAATTTTTAAAGACAGCCATGTTGTTTGTACTTAGTTTTTTTTAATTGTAGTTCACAGTTTTGTTTTTATCTGTCCAACTCCTGAAGCTTTTTACAGTAAGATGTAAATACTCTGTTTGACTCTCACTCTCTCTCTCTCTCTGACCTCTATAGGCTTTATTTCGTCTCAGAAAAGTTCCAGCGTGTCTGAGTGGTTTATTCAGCACATTTATTTTTAACAGCAAGACTAGAGACAGCCAGGGAATCTCCTAAAAACACTGGAAAGAGGGCCTTTGACTGAAACACACACTGATGCAATCAAGGTAAACTAAAAATGTATTTAAAAAGATCAACTAAAAATGTAGAACCGCTGTAAAATTATCCTTTCAACAAATGCATTGTGCATAACAGCGAGAACAATGTGGATGTTATTGTCTCTAAAAATGTTCAGGAGGGGAATTAGTGTTTAGAAGAGCTGTTTTAATTGTCTTTAAAAGGAATAAATGTACAAATGCTTCTCTTTGGAGAGAATTGTAGAATTAAGACAGTCTGAAACCATCTTCAGATGCTGCATCTTATAATAAAACCACTAAAAAAATGCTGGGTTCCACACAATCCCTTCATCTTCTCTCAGCGCAAATCAATTAATTTAAATGTGTATATATATATATATATATATATATATATATATATATAAACTTGATTGAACATAAAACAATTAAGTTGTCCCCAAAAATACTCAAGAACTGTTGTTTAAACTCATTTTAAATAAGTGGTTTGAACAAGCAGCAAAAACATTTTGAATACTACTACTACTACAATGTTAAGCAAAATGCCTCACATTTCTGGCTTGTTGATGCTTTATACATCAAGACGCAATTGATTCAACACAGAAATGAAGTAAATGGTAGTTTCTTACCTGTGTACCCAGGTGTTGTAGCAGTGATTCGGTGAGGAACCCGGGGAGAAACACGCAGACCAGCCCTCACCTGATAGAAGCTGCAAATGAGAACAGTTATTCAGTTATTACAGGTATTAGATGTTTTTTTTGTTTGTTTGTTTTTTGCAGCTTACAAATGACAAAAATGACCTGAATTACACATTTTTGGGTAAAGAGATATACTTTACCAGAAATGTGCAAGTTTGCAGTTTGGAAAAGACATATTCGGGCTGGCAGTAAATGTCTTTTGTAACCAAAATAATTATTGTGTCCCATAAAAGTACGAAAAGTGATTTTGGTTTGAAACAACACCAGCAAATAATGACAACATTGGAATTTTGGGGGGAGCTATGCCTTTATTTAATTATTTCATTGATTCATTCATTTTCTTGTCGGCTTAGTCCCTTTAATAATCCGGGGTCGCCACAGCGGAATGAACCGCCAACTTATCCAGCAAGTTTTTACGCAGCGGATGCCCTACCAGCCGCAACCCATCTCTGGGAAACATCCACACACACCCACACATTCATACACATACTCATACACTACGGACAATTTAGCCTACCCAATTCACCTGTACCGCATATCTTTGGACTGTGGGGGAAACCGGAGCACCCGGAGGAAACCCACGCGAATGAGGGGAGAACATGCAAACTACACACAGAAACGCCAACTGAGCTGAGGTTTGAACCAGCGACCCAGCAACCTTCTTGCTGTGAGGCGACAGCACTACCTACTGTGCCACTGCCTCGCCCCTATTTAATTATTTATAAGTATTTTTTTTTAAAGACTGAAAAACTATTAATTAATGAACACTCTGTAAATATAAACATATATAAAACTTCCAGTATGTGGTGGGTGGGTGTCAGAGAAAGCCATTCATTCATTTGTTTGCTTTAAAAGGCTGATTCATTTCTAAATGTAGTGAATTACTACTGTATGAATGGGTTCACCTGATTCGTTCAGAATGCAGATTCATTAGAGAACATAAAATAAAGCTCAGATTTGATAGACGAGACCCACAGAACCATCAATAATTTTACACTCTGTTAAAGTCTGTGGAAAAACTCGCACCTGAGCAACACATGTGACTTCATTCTCCACATGAGATATGTCTTTAAGCCGCCATCACCAATGCCTTTTATTGAAAGTATTCAATACGTTTCAGTAGTTCAGCACTTTCTCCTTGCGTCTTTCCATTGTTATTACACATCACTTATTTTTCTGATTTAACTGTTTTATTTTTATGTTTGTATTGTTTGGGTTTTTACCAAAATCTGCTTCAATTCCATGTCAACAGCTCCTTTAGAAATATTATTACCAGGCAACCCTGCTGGATATAGGCCTCTACATATGTGCCTAACTATACTAACTACTACCTATACATATACTACATACCTGCCAATGCTCCTGTTTTTCCTGAGAATCTCCCATATTTCAAACCCATAGATATATACACTAGATATCGCATAGAGTCCCTGAGCATGCGTCAAAAGCGGCGCCATATTTGTACAGTGCTCCCAGGACAAGGGTCATTCAACCGCACTAGTTAAGACAGTCAGCGGGTGTAGTAACGAGCAAACAAAGAAAACAAAGCACAAAGGCAGAACATTTCATAGGTAAGATTTAGTTTTTTTTTTTTTGTGTTTTTGTATGTTAGGAACTTTTGTTCTAAACAGGTAACGTTATTGATGATAATACAGTCACTCACTGCATTCATCATAAGGCAAAGTAGCACTAACTCGCACTAAACACTCGGCTTATGCTAGTTTTGTTGAATAAAATCAGCAAACAATGCAAAAGAAAAATGACAACGAGATGCTGCGCTGTCAGAAACTGGTATTATTGTCGGCTAGTGAAGGAGTCGTTCGTAACGGAGATTCTTTCACAAACGAGTCGCTCCCTCAGTCAGTATGAGAAGTGAAAGCAGGAGAGGGGGTGTGTCTCAGGACATGATTAGATCAAATTTAACAGGGAAGGTGGATAGTACATTTCCATACACAAACACAAGCTTTTTGTCAGGAATGCTTGTGCGATCACTTATCCATCAATGTAGAAAAGTGATGTAAAATTTTAAAAAATGCATACTGACCTTCGGGAAAACTCTCGATCATAGATATATGTGTATGTATGTAATTCTCTGGCTCTGGATGGCCACAGTCCTCCACTGCAGCTTGGTCCCGCATTCATTTCAAAGGAGCGCTACCCTGTACTAAAATGGCGGTTGACGCATTCCTTGTAATAGACAACAACAGGGTAGGCGACATCTAATGTAAATATCTATGTTTCAAACCCATATCCCGCCATTCCAGGAAAACTCCCACTGTCAACCAACTCTCTCACTCCTCCCCTCCCCCTCAACCCCAGCATTTTGGTACAGCCTGTGAAACCCCCATGTCGCCAACATTGGTATAGTATCCGATCACAGCGGCCACCAGAAACACGCTTCGTAGTACGATTACTAAAACCACAGTACCCAATTCTCAACAGTGTTATTCGGACATCTCACCCCACTTCCCCCAACCCACCCCATAAAACTATACACATAACCTAAGACAGACTTTACAAGAACTTTTACATTAGACAGAACAATACTGTGCAAGACAGATGGATTTTTAGGTTGAAGAAAACAAGTGGCGCATCATGATTTGTGGTACATTGTTTGTCCTTGTAAGGTGAAGTTTGAGTAAAGTGCCGTGCGAAGAGTGTTTCTACAAGTGGTTTCCCTGCTGAAAAATTCAGCTTAAACCAGCCTAGGCTGGTTTAAGCTGGATTTTTTTGCAGGGTTGTCAAGCCCACTAACCTGCGTAAAGCAAACTTTAGAAATTCACATTGTTTTTTCTAAAGATATGAAGCGATTGTATAAACGAGTCTTGAGCAAAGTCTGGCAAAATTGTCGGCTGAAGTAAATATTAATTAAAATTCATGTTCTGATACTGAACAAACTGAAATAAGCATCAGCTGATCTGGCCTATGTGAGGTCTTATGCTGTCAATCTCTATTAAATCATGAATGCTGATGCTGAATTAATGTGAGTGCTTATATGCTGTGTTCCATCAGGGATTGTAGAGAGGTCACCTTGGCCAGTGAAGTGACTGCGGGTGCATGTTAAATGTTGAAGCACAACACAGATCACACTGATGCTCAATCCCTAGGGATCCTGGACCAAAGACTGGTCATTACTGTACTGCAGCACAACATATACTGTACTCTACTGCAGTGTTTCCCAAACCTGTTCCCGAAGGCACACCAACAGTACACATTTTCAGCTTCTTCCTATTCAAACACACTTGAATCAACTCATCAGGGCTGCGTTTCCCGATAACGATTGATCTTAGCACTTAAGAGCGTTTTCTACGAGTCATTTTGCGAACGTTCGTTATTGTTTCACGTGCGTTTCCCAAAAATGCACTTAACACAATTGCACGTAGCCCAGCTTTAAGTGCAACTTTGGAGTCGCTATCCGTTTGTTAAGTGCTGAAATGTCACGCTATAGAATGGCTCGTTATTGTTGCACATGTTATAGCAATCCATATAATTCTTCTTCTACTTGTGTGAATGTATATTCAACTCGAATAACATAAAAAAATATATATTTTTGAGCCAGTTTAAAAACATAAATTAACTGGAAATGTCGTACTGTAAAAACACTGTCTTGCTCCAATCTCGCATAAAACTAATTCTAACAGTCCTTGCCGGAAATGACATCAGCATCATTTTCGATATTTATATGAAACCTTAATTAAGTAGAATTATTTATCAATTTCTTTATCAAAAATTGCTTATCTCACATCAAAATAAATAAATAAGTAAATAAATAAATAAATAAATAAGCTCTTACATTTATTTTTGAAAAGTTTAGCCTAATTATCCCCACCTGATGTGCATTTGCTAATAGGACAAAAATATAAATAAGCACATACCTAGGGGTGGAGACACTAGCAAAATGGCTGAAACCAAAAAACAAAGAAAAGTCATTTTTCAAAAAGATGTGTAATCTTTAAATCACATTAAATATTTTCTGTTAAATACAACATATGTAGCCTACTACCCTCGAAATGTCCATATACAACAGTGTAATTTTTTTTTTCATTCTAACATTTATTATGTAATTTTTATTTTTTTCTTTATTCATTATTATTTGTATATTGAATTGTGTAATGTGTAGAAAATATAAATGAATAGAGATATACGTACAAATAAAATGAATAATGACTTTGAAGAGAAGTAAATTGTAGGTGCAATTTGCCGGTTGTCCAGCAGGTGCCCTCATAACTCTGTCTCCTTACGATGCACTTAAGGCTTTACGATTACTCCAGAGCACTCGTAGATCCACGAATATTTTCAAGTGCTACTTAAGTTACGATGCTTTTGGGAAACAGACCGTAATATTAAGATCAGTCGTACGATCATTTCTACGAACTTCTTAGGCTTACGATGCTTTTGGGAAACGCAGCCCAGAGCATTAGAGACTCTAAAACCTGAAGTTAATGCGTCTGATAAGGGACACTTTCAAAATGTGTACTGTTGGTGTGCCTCCAGGAACAGGGTTGGGAAAGACTGCTCTGCTGTATGTTGACAGTACATAAGCATAAATGCCACACGACTGTAGTTCACAGTAAAATGTCAACAGAATGTGCACATCTTCAAAAATACTGCAACAAAATGCATGGTAAGCACAATATAACATGCTATGCTAAAGTGTCTATAGCATGTATAAAACATTTTAACATTCCAGCTAAAGCTACATGTCTGAAATATATATTGTATGCGTAGCTAGGCTATAAATGTAAGAATACCACAGTCTTCTACATGTCAATAAAGTATTAGCCTACCATATATGCTGCTGCAGAAGTTGCTACTGTTTAATACAAGCTAAAGCAAATGAACAGCATAGCACCGGCTATATCATCTGAAATGCATGTTTAGTAGCCTACATGCTAAAGCAAATGTACAGCATAACACTGGCTTCATCACCATAAGTAAATGTTTCTAGTACATGCTAAAGCAATTTTACAGTGTAGCACTGGCTATTTCATCTGATAAACATGTTTCTAGT